GATGTTGGCTGTAGGTTTGTCATAAATGGCTTGTGTCATTTTTAGGTAAGCCCCATCTATGCCTATTTTGTTAAGCATTCTTATCATAAAAGGGTGTTGAATATTGTCAAATGCTTTTTCTGCATCTATTGAGAGAATCATGTGGTTTTTGTTTTTGCTTCTGTTTATGCGGTGAATTATGTTTATAGATTTGCGTATGTTGAACCATCCCTGCATCTCTGGAATGAAGCCCAAGCTCTCTTTTTTTATAAAATCAATCAGCAACTCTCAGAGTAACCATTTCTTTTTCTCCTCCCCTTTTTATTTCTTACAGCCTGCTTATCTCATGTCAGCTTTGCCACTAACCTTAGGAAAGCATGTGGAGGAAGGACCTGCTTTTAGATAGCGAAGATAATTGAATGCTTAGGATACCCTGGCAGTGTGCCCTTAATTATGAATCAGCACCTTAGCATTTAAGCATATAGGTTATATTCCTATGGAAGAGAGCTATTCATTGACTTTTCTGCCGTCTTTATGGCCAAGAGAAAAATAGAGGTTATATGGGTCAAAGTGTTTTTCTCTCTCTGTCTCTAGAGACCTTCCACAATGAAGAATATGTTTTGCAAACCTCATTAAAGATAGATCTCCTCTTTGGGTTCCCCTAAGACCAGGGAGGGTATAATATTTTAGACTTAAATCCCAAAACTTCACAGTCCTTATTTCAGGATATTGATTTAAAAAAAGATGACTTTGTTAATGTGGTAAAGTCGTATCATGAAGGATGATAAAATTTTAGTTATACTCATAGGAATTTAATTCATCGTATATTTACATATATTGAGCTCTCGTGCACAAGAAGCTTGCTACATTAGGTTTTACAAATGGTACAAAGATGTGTCAAAGCATAGTAAGTCCTTGTGATCAAGTTTATAATCGCCATGACATGTGATGGGGGGGCAAGACAAATACATTAATAATTATAATACAAGATAGAATAAATATGCTAGAAATGAAGCCAAAATGTTACAGCCAGGGTTCTTCTCCTATTTTGTTTTTAGGTCCTCCAAGCCAGGCCATGTGGGCTTTGGGGGATAAGATTGCATCTTCTATAGTGGCTCAAACTGCTGGTATCCCAACTCTTCCCTGGAGCGGTAGTGGTAAGAAGTTATTTCTTGTTTGTATCTTGAAGTGCAGAAAAGCTCAGTAGGATATTCAGGACCGTGGCTTAGGGGTTAATTTTGTTTAAAATGTTTTGGGATATTTGGCAAGAAATGGAATCTTGGTTGATTAACGGTACCTTGTATCTCTTGGCATAATTAATAGACCTGTGATTTTTACCATGTCTTGGGGTTATAAATTAGTGTCAGATGTACAGATGCTAAACTGTGATCTGGAGTGATCTTGGGACTTAATTTGGAGAAACTCTGGGAAAATACATATGGTTCTGTGGATTCAGATCTATTCTGGGTAGACCAGAATATTTCTCAGAGGTGATCTTCCTTGGTGGAATTCGGCTTTTGGACCTGCCTGGGAGGTAGTCTGGATCACTAAGAAGAAGGTAAAACCCACTTACTCAAATACTCACCTGCCAGTGTTTTCTTGATGTCAGCCCACAATCTGTTGATGATTTGCTTTGCCTGTTTAATACCATTCGACCTCAGTTGCCCTTGATTGAGAGAATGAGGTCAGTTATCAGCCTTTCCTCCAGGCACACAGAAGGATGAAAATTTTCAAGAAATGATTTTTTCTTGACAAATCCTTTAAAGCGTGCTATGTGCATTATTATAGCTGATACCAATATGAACTTCCTTTTTTTTTTTTTTTTTTTGAGACAGAGTCTCACTGTGTTGCCCAGGCTAGAGTGCCGTGGTGTCATCCTAGCTCACAGCAACTCCTGGGCTCAAGCGAACCTACTGCCTCAGCCTCCCGAGTAGCTGGGACTACAGGCATGTGCCACCATGCCCGGCTAGTTTTTTTCTATATATTTTTAGTTGTCCAATTAATTTCTTTCTATTTTTAGTAGAGACGGGGTCTCGCTCTTGCTCAGGCTGGTTTCGAACTCCTGAGCTCAAACAATCCACCCGCCTCGGCCTCCCAGAGAGCTAGGATTACAGGCATGAGCCACTGCGCCCGGCTCCTTTTTTTTTTTTTTAATACTCAAACACCGGGAGCAGACATATACTAAAATCTCTTTTAAAATGAGAATGACAATTGTCTTGAGGCCGAACAGATTTGAACCCTTGTTACTCTGGCTCTCTGGGGGATGCAATATCCTCCCCAGACCTGGTTGGGTCAAATAGTTTAAAATAAAAGGTTTAATTTGTTCTTGTTTGAATGGAGAGGCTATAGTGTTCCCCTTGTGGCCAAGTACAGGGACATTCAGGAAGCAGGGAATCATGACTCTGCTGAGGCCAATAAAACCACCATTTCCATTTCCAAGGGCTCATAAAGATTGAATTATTTCCCAGACCTCTGGCCCTAGAGCAGGCTTGAACACACGAATCGAAGGCATTTTGCCTGCTGAGTTGCTATGAGAAATCTGCCATGCTTTTTTTTTTTTTTGGTCTTTTATGTCCTTGTACTTTTATAAGTTGCTCCCTGTTAGCTCTCCTGGCTTTTTCCAGCATAAGAACCCATGTTGCCAGGTCATACTACGGCTAAATCCTGTTAACCCAAAGGACTAAGCAGGGTGTTAACATCCTTCTTTCTTCTGTCTACTCTCAATTTTGGATAATATGATAGGCTTTTAAAGAAGATAGAGTGGAAAGTCAACACGAGCAGAAGCTCTTGTCACTGCTCTAAGTCACTGTTGTCTGTTGCAGGTCTTCGTGTGGACTGGCAGGAAAATGATTTTTCAAAACGTATCTTAAATGTTCCTCAGGAACTATATGAAAAAGGTTATGTGAAAGATGTGGACGATGGGCTGAAGGTAGGTTATTAACTCCTGGGAGTGAGATGCCTTTCAAGCAACCAATTATAGTCACGAACGTAGGGAATTTGGATCCTGGTTCGTGATATATATCCATAATGGCTTTAGGGTTGTAAGATCAGAAGGTATAGTTTAAAAAGTATAGAGTGAGGAAGTGACTTTATTTTTTTTTATATTTATATTTTCATTTATTTTTTATTTTTTGTAGAGTCAGGTTGTCACTGTGTTGCCCATCCTGGCCTCAAGTGATCCTCCCGCCTCAGCCTTCCAAAGTGATGGGATTACAGGTGTGAGCCACTGTGCCATGCCAGGAAGTGACTTTAAATTTAAACAATTTAAATTCGTTTTGAAGCAGGCTGCTTATCCAGACAGAACATTTCTTAGGTGATAATTAGAGTTTTGAGGATGTGCTGATGCTCCCTCTCTGTACCCCCTGTTGGTATGTGAGAGGGGGCCAGCAAACAACACACTTTTCCGCTGCTTGAGTTCGGAACCAAGAAGCCCAGGCAGGTAGCTTTATTACAAATAGAGGTGTTGGTGAAAATGGCTTAAGTGTGTAGCAGCAATCCGATTTGTAAACTGAACACCAACATTGAAACAATCACCACAGACTTCCTTCTGCAGAGAGAGAACTTCTACCATTCGACTTACTGTATGGCTAAGCGCTGACGAAGAACATATGTTCTGTGCAGTGGGCTGATCCCAAAGGGGAAGAGGCCGAGCTTTGTGTGCTCTGTTCCTCCTTCCAAATTGACCAATTGTATAATTTATTTTTTCCCTTGGGAAGGAGTGGGGGAGTGAGCTGAAATAGGCTGAAAGTGTTACATTAATTATTGTCCATCCATGTAAAAACATGCAACTAGGCAAAAGGTGATCCTTCCCTCAGCATTTTAACTTTTCTTTTCTTAAAGTTCTCTCCAGTTTGTTCCCTTTTCACTTTTTAACTAGTTGGTAGTGTCAGTTATGTCTCCAGGTAGATGATAAAATAGGCTATTTTAGAAAAATACACTGCTTGAGTTTTATTAGTATGTTATAAATTCAAGAGGAATGCAGAATCTTCAACTAATTTTGCCATATTGTTTGCATTTCAAGTTAAGCATCATGTAATCTCCTTAATAAGAAGAATTAATATTTCTAATTGAATTGAAAATGCTTTATTCTATTTGCTATAATTCACAAAAGAGGAGAAGCCCTTTGTAAGGAACTAGCTATTTTGCTTATTAACTAAAAGTCTTTTTTTTCCTGGTTACATTTATAAAAAGAATTTTCTGGTAGAAAGGCAGAGATGATGATAAAACCACCCATAAACCACCATCCAGAGATAATGTCCATTAACATATTCATGTATTTTTTCCAGCTTTTTTTTGATTCATAGATTCATATAATAATCTTTATTAATCGATTTCTATAATTATAATAACTATAAAATTAGGGTTTTAGTATAAATATTGTTTTGTAATCCTAGTACTTTTTTCTACTTAATATTATATATTTAAGCATTTTCCCTATGGAATTAAAATTCTTCTAAAATATTTTTAATGGGCAATCTTTGGCTAGAGTATTCATGTATTTTTTAAAGGCTCACCTTCTTACTCTCTTCCTGTGGGCTACCTATTTTTATAAGTCCTTTTCCATATTTGTGCTATCTATTTCTTTGATTACCTGTCACCCAGTGATTGAGTTCATCATACTAATTCTGTTGATATGAGCATAGAAAAGAACAGAATTAAGGGAACTTTAGAAGAGATCGGACTATGAATGTAAGATTTTCATCCCTAATCTACTAATGCAAATTAAAATTTGAAATGGCCTTTTTCCAATGACACATTTTAAAGAAATTCTTATAATGTAGCAAAACTAGCATATTTTGACAAAGAAATGACTTGGTTATTTTAAATGTTTAGTTAACTTTTCCCCAGTTTACTTTCTGCCTTAACAATATAGTTTAGATTATATTAAATTATGGAATATGTTAAACTATATTAAATTAATGATATTTTCTATTTATTACCTATAAAGCCTACCTAATTCCTTCTAATAATTGCATAGTATTCTATATAGTATATATCTTGATTTAACCAGCTGTATACTTGATGGTTATATGATTAATTTTGGAATCATCACCTGATCATTATATAGTACTGTAAATGTGAAAAGCACATTTGGAGCATGTGCTGACAATTAGTTTCCTGATGAATTTCGTTAATATTTTTAGATCTTGTTGTTTTTATCTTTTATCAAACCTTAAGAGAAAAAAAATTTGCAGATACTTGAGAGTTCTGATTTGATGAGTCTTATATGTGGTTGGGAGCTATACTGATATACTATCAGCTTATATTAAGTGAACTAATCTTTTAAAAAAAAATTTTGATTAATACATGGATAACTGCATACCATAAGGAAGAAATTCGAACAATACAGAAATATATGTAGTAAAAAGTGAAAGTTTGTATCTGTTCATCTTTCTTTTATAAATCACCACTGATATATAGTCTATACTTCATTTCTTTGTATTTACGTATGTGAATATATGAATGCATATATAATTTTACATAAACATAGACTTATTTTGTTTTTGACCTGTATGGGATTATCTTAGGTTGAATCATATGAAATGGCCAATATTCAACTTTTTTTTTTTTTTTTTTGAGACAGAATCTCACTCTGTTGCCCTGGCTAGAGTGAGTGCCGTGGCGTCATCCTAGCTCACAGCAACCTCACACTCCTGGGCTCAAGCAATCCTTC